GCAGACTTAAGGCGGAGCACCTGCGGATGGGGGCCGTCGGGCTGACATGGCCTGGCGGGTCTTTCTCGCCATCCCGGTGGCCCAGTTGGCTATGCTAAAGGGGCTATTGTGATTTAGTCCTCACTCTAGGTGAGGCTACCCTGGCCTCTCTCTCTCTTACCCCACCCAGCCTCACACTGGTGATAGTCCATCTTCAGGAGGCTCTGGTGCTACCCTCCAGAGCCCATCTTCCCAAGCCCCTGATCATAGATTGCCAAGGCCTGAGCCAGAAGAAATCTAAGTTCAGGGTGTCTCTACAGACAGCACAGTTTAGCTCCAGGCCCTCTCCTGACAATCCACTCTACCCAGAACCCTGTTTTCTCCCCCTCACTCCCCTGGCTCTCATCCCCTCAGAATGCCACTGAGGCCTCACAATGGCACATGACTGAACACACCCAAGTACCATAATTAAATACTCACAGATCCCAAAGAAATCTTGCCCTCAGACTCTGGCTGCAGTCCTTGCCCTGGGTTCCAAACTCAAGAGTTGAACGAGGGATTATTGAAACCAAAGAGACACACCAACAGAAAGCCCATACCCTCTAGACTTCCATTCCAGATACCTAGAGCTACAGCAGCATGCCTGCAGGGCTGGTGTCTGCCTTTCTAAGAAGAAGGCCTGTCTGGTGTCCTCTAGATCTCAGAGATGGTCAAGGCGTGTCAGAACCAGGTTGGGAAGAGACTGCTATGGATAGAGCTCTCTCTCTCCCCGTTTGTGTGTGTGTGTGTGTGTGTGTGTGTGTGTGTGTGTGTGTGTGTGTGTCAGAAGGCTGGGATCTCAACTGTACTCCTTCCGGGGTATCACAAGTACTAGGGGTAGGCCTGCACTCGAACTGAAGAGCATGTGGGTAGCATGCACCAAGCCCCTAGAAAGAACCCAATAGACACTTGGAGAGAAAATGTACCCAGAGATCTGTTTTGATCCCTTGTTTGATCCTCACAGCTATTATGGATTGGATCTACAAAGTTCATGAGTTGAAGGCTTGTCCCCCTGCGCAGCAATGTTCAGAAGCAGGCCCAGTTACCTAGACCACGATGGTTCTGATTTCACCAATGAGTTCATCCATTGCTGGATGCATACTTAATGGGCTCTTGGGAAACAGAGGGAACTGTAGGAAGAGGAAGACGCATCCAGCGCATGCTCACAAGGGGATATTGTGTGCCCTTTCTCTGCTGTCATGAGGTAAGTGGTCATGCTCTAAAGTACGCTGACCATGAGTGTCTGGATTATCACAGGCCCTCAGAACAATGGAGACAGCGACTGAGACTGACTGTGGCCCCTCGGAGGCTGAGAGCTAGGATTACCCCTTCCTCCTTTGAGTTGTTTGCCTTAAGCATTGATCTAATACTCCAACCAAGCAGCAATGTAAGCGCCATTATCCCCACAGTACAGAGTGGGAAGGCAGGCTTCAGGGAGGCTGAGTGGTTTGCTCAGTCATAGGTTCACAGTCTGAACTCATGTATACCCTCCTCGAGCTGACTTTCCTTAACGCCACAGTTATTTGACCTTGACTTGGTTACTTCCGACTGGTTGGAACTCAAGACTCTTTTGAGTCAGTTCTTAACATTGCAGGCAAGGAAGTTTTTGGTTTTCCCTTTCCTTCACTGAGCTTAACGTTCTCTGCAAACTTCGGGCCTGGCTTCCTTGTTCTGTCACTGGTGCCTGCAGAGACATTACCCCATTTCCTGCTACAGTCTTTGAAGCTACAGCGGTTTCTGCTCCTGGATGTTTCTTCTTAGTTGAAACATCCTCAGTGACTCCCTTTTCCCTCCTAGCAGAGGATTTCCAGACCCTCTACTTAATCAGGCCTCCGAGGACAGAGTCTAGTCTCTGTCCCCGATGGTACTTCACAAGGTTCATCGTGTGCAGAAATTCCCCCTCAGTCAATTTGGCATGCAATTTGGCTTATTCCTCCTACCAGCAAGAGACAGAGTCCTAAGACCCAGAGCTGAGGACAGTCTCACTGTTCCTGGGGTTTTCTGCCTGTAGCATGGGGTGAGGTCATGGGATTGTGCTGCACACAGTTGGGGTGCGCGTCAGTAACTGGGGTGACTAAGATAGCAGAGCATGTGCGCGCGCGGGTGTGTGGGTAAAGATGGTGATGATGTTAATGAGCCTGTGCAGAGCTGGCTGGGGAAGCCACAGAGGCGGGCGCCCTGAGAAACCCTCCACCTGTTGCACTAGCTAGCGTTCAGTTTCTTCGTTACCCCACCCCGGCACACACGGAGGCAGAGCTCGACTGAACCTAAGTGCTCATTCGGTGTGCCAAGGCAGTTGTGTGACCCAGAGACCACCAGTGAGCTGTAGCCACATGGATGATACCCAGGCAGCTACTTCTGCACTGCTGGAATAAAATGTTGGGGAAAGTCAATTTCATGAGAGAAGGGTTTATTATGACTCAATGTACGAGGTTGCAGTCCATCAGAGCAGCGGGGGTGTGAGGCGACCCGGCACTTTCAGGAAAGCAGAGAGGGATGAATTCTGACATGTTTCCTTCAGTCCAGGACCCTATCTACATTCAGGATGGGTTTTCCTGACTCAGTTAATCTAGTCTAGACACCCAGACATCCCAGAGACTTGCCAAATCTTGTCAAATCAGTGATCAATATTGACTGTCACAAGCACCTTAAAGATGAGATATCCCTGTGTCCAGGGACTGAGCTAGCAAGCAGGACTGACCTCTGAACACACTGCCGAGATATTGTAAGTAGGGCAGAAACTAAGAGTCAGGAGTAAAACTAGTGTACTTTTCCATGGGGTGGGGCACTGAGGTTTTTTTTTTCTAGCTTGCATTTTCATGAGTGACATGGCTATGAATATTACAATCCCAATTTTCTGATTGCCAAGAAGCTTCATTAGTGCTGCATTGGGACTTCTGAGAAGCTGAGGCTTCTACGCCGCCTCCAGCCTGCTTCCCATTCCCTGGGGCAGGCCCAGCTCCCACGCCCCTTGCACTCTGTACCACACCAGGGTTCTCCATGCAGGCGTGCATTCATTGACATTCTAGAGGCTCCCATGTTGCAGAGCTGCAGCCCAGTAAGGAGGAAGAAGGGTGCCACTCACCAGCCAGGAAGTGCTGGCTCTGCTCCACAGCTGGAGGGGTGCAGACGGAGCTTTGCTCACAGGTAGCCCCAAGAGTGCAGGGGTGGAGGAGCCTGAGGCTCAGATCCTACCCTCTCCCACGCCCGCCCGGCTGCCCCACAGGCTTGCATGTTAGCGCTGCCTTGAGAGTTGCGGAAAGTGAAGGAAGAAATGGAAATTGCATGAAAGGAAGAGGAAGGAGGTCAGCTGGAGAATATTGCCGACACGGTATGGTAGCCCAGGGCTCTGGGTGATTTGCCGAAGCTGACTTTCATCCTGATCTTCATTTCTTTTAATCTAGCAGATAATTAGAGGGAAATCAAATCCCTCCCCACAGTCAAAGATTAACCTGTCACTGCTGCCGCTCTCTTCCTACAGACTTTCCTACCTCTTCTCTCACACTCCCCCTCAAACACACACACACAACACGCACACAATGTTCCACTTATTTAAAACTGTTCAGATTGGACATTTCCCATGGCAAGGACTCTTCTAGGAATGAGCAAGACTCTCTCTTCCTCCAAAGTAAGAACTTTTCATTGCTTTGAGATTAAAAAAGATCAACTGAAAACTCCCTTTTATGGATGAAGAAAGCACAGTGCAGGGTGTGAGGAGACGGGACCATTTATGGCTGTAAATGGCAGAGCCAGGGTTTCCCCCAAGTGTCTGACTGCGGAGCCCCTGCGCCCCCCAACCTGTGCACAAAAACCACGAATGAATCTCTATTCCGACCTCGGTGGCTCTCTTCCCTCTCTCCCCTCAGATGACATGGTAATTACATGTAGAGAGAGGCAAACCCCTGTCCGAGCACTGATGAAAACCCTGTCTACCAGGGATCTCGCTCCCTCTGCACAGCAGCTTAAGCTCCATTCCCTCCAGTTTGGGACATTACTGAAAATGAAGCGGTCTCCTGGTTGGCTGAGGCTCTTTCAGCTCAGAATCACCTCTGGTTGCTTAGCCCACATAAATCAAGAGACAAGCCCCTGCTGTAGCTCACAGTGAAGCAGTCCGCTCTCCACGTCATTCACTGAGACAGGGTCTCTTTCCTGAACCCAGAGCAGCCAGCTGTTCCCCAGAGATCCCTCCTCCCAAATGCTGGGATGCCAGGTGGGCTCTACCTTACCCACCTAGCTTTTTGTGGGGGTCTTGAGTCTGAACCCCAATCCTCATGCTGACTCAGTCACCTCCTCTGCCCACACCCCCTGGTTTGAAGAACACATGGAGGCTTTAGGTCACCAGGGCAGTGAGTGAGGAAGCTGCTTAGCTGTCCTTACTTGAAGTGACTCTGGGAAGGCTCACAGGTCCACACTGCCTCCTATCCACAGTGGTGAATGGCTGGCTATATGCCCACCCAGTCTCCCATCTGCTCCATTCAGTGGCAGGGCACCCGCATACCTGTGGTGGAGAGACCCAGTCGTCCCTCTGAAATGACACTCTTTAGGAAATGCAGTTTCCCATCAGCCACAGAAATGGGTCCCTCAGACCACCGTACACAGAAGAAGCCTTTAGAGGGTAGTGGGCCCACACTCAGTGTTCTCACAGTTTCAGACAGGAAGACAACATGTTTCACAAAGGGTAATGGACATGTTAGCCCCCTGCTGTCTGACAACCCACCTGAGCCTGCGACCGTTGAGGTCCAGACAGCTGCCGGAGCAGAGCTGCAAACCATGATGCTCCCAACCTTCGACAGGTTGTGCGGAGCCTCCAATGATAACAGCACACTTTGGCTTCCAGTAATAACATCTTTGGAGTTTCTACGGGAACAACACACCCATGTACAAGATCCCGTGTCCCTTCTGGGCTCCTGCCAGACCTCACACATTCCACACTGAAAACAAGCTCGGTTCTTTTGTTTGACATTCCAGAATGCCCACCTCTGGTCTCTGGGTTCCATGGCGCCTCCTTCCACCTCCCTCTCTCCAGTCCACTTCATGCACCTGTCTCTCAACCGACTTGAACTCCTCAGGGTTCCCTGCAAGAGTCTCCTACTACTACTTCCTCCCCAGGGACATCCTTTCTCTTGTCTTTGTATTTCAAATCCTTTACACGCCAGCCGCAGTGCTACCTCTCCATTGGCGTAAAAATTCTTCCTGCCAGGAAACGATCTCTCCGCACACATTTCCCCCTTGACACTTTGTCTTTGCAGTCTCAGTACTTAGCTCCTCCACCTTACAGACCTTTATGAGTAGGTCTCACCTCCCCTTCTGGCCTGTGCGCTCATTTGCTTTTGGAGTCCTCCTCTTGACACACAGTAAGTGCTCAATAAACACTCAAGATAAAGGCATTCTCGGGTCTCTAATCCAGCTCTGATGCAAATGAAATGCAAATGAATCCACAAAGAGTCACCTTACTTTGACCCAGACTTCTTTTATGTATGTGAGACCTTCAGAGGTACTTGGGAATCTGTGTATCTGACCAGCATACACGGATCAGCATAAAGAATTCTTTGGCATCAGCTAAACCTCAGAATTTCAACCAAAGCTCAGTAGGATAGTGAGATGATCTTCCAGAAGAGCCTGTGCCTGGAAGCATGGTCACCAGCCAGAAGGGTGCTGTCTTTTTCTTAGGATGACATGCTTAGAGCGCATAGCTCTAGGGAGGCAGCTGAGCAGTTAAGAGCACTGGCTGCTTTTCCAGACAACCCATATGGTGGCTAGCAAGCACCTCTAACTCCAGTTCCAGGGTCTGACGCCCTCTTCTGGCCTCCAGGGCGCTGTGTCACAGGTGCAGGTAAAGGCAAACCACCCATATACATAAAATAAAAACAGCTCTTTTAAAAAATGAATACATCTCCCGTTACGGAGGTGGTTTCTGTAAGGCATACTGCCAATTAAAGTGGGAGGAGTCTGAGTTTGAGAGCTTTCTGATTTGTGCACTTCCTCTACTCTTCCCCAGGGTGGGGCAGAACCACATTCCTTGGTCATACTCAGTGCCTCTTCCTGTTCCCTCAGAACGCCTCGCCTTTGTCCGAGGTTCCATGTAGAATCTACCTGCTTTGGAGTTTCACCTGTTGGTTCCAATGGCAAAGGATGCAGGAGAGATGCTTGTCAAGGTAAGGAAACCCTCAAGTGGGTATCTCTGATGGGCACTGATGCTGCTCAGGCAGGGTCGCTCCGTCCTTTACAGAAAATAGGGCAATTGTGGTGATAAAGGGTCAGTAAATTGAGAGCAGACTGAGAAGTTAGTGTAGGGTAAGGGCCTTCCAGAAGTCATTTTCCAAACACCTGTAGTTGAATCAAAGGCGAGCAGTCTATAAACCAGCTCCTGGGCACTAGGAGACACCATGATCTCCGTAAAGTCCGTTTGGATTGCTCCACACCTTCCTGCCTGCCACACTTTATAAATTCTGGGGTCACAAAGGGTCCAGCCACCAGTAAGATCAACATTTGGGAAAGAAGAGGCACCAGTAAGACCCCTCCAGGTCAGATTGATGGGCCTTCCCCAATCTAGAACCTTGTCTGAAAACACCTGGGAGTGCCGTCTATTGATTCACACCCACAGAAGGTTTTCACAAGAAGGCCTAGGCCACCAAAATGCCCTAACAGGGAATTTCTGTTGGTTTCCCTTATTTTTTCCTTTCTCTTTGAACCTGGGCTTTCAGTGTGTGACAGAAGTCGATCTCAAAGTGAGGAGACTCTGGTCATTTTTACTCTGCCACTAACGAGCCTTGTGACCTGGGCCAGACAACTCATATCCCTCCTCAGCTTAGTTTCCAGGTGGGGGAGTAGGGAGATGCAGGCATAGAAGGACTTTATCCATCACTTGAACCAACTGCCTCAGGAACTTAGGAGGTAGCTGTCACCATCAGCATAGTTAGAAAGTGTAGCCTGACTGACCCCTGGTGACCTGGGACCAGCATTTGTCAAATGCTGTCAGATTGCTCTGGGAAGGAAGCAACTTGGCTGAACTCAGAGCAGGGGAGATTAGGGATCTCACCAGGCCTGGATGAGGCCAAATTCACTGCCTGCCAAGTCACTGTTCTTCAGACACCTGTGAGGGGTTCTGGAATAAGGCAGCTGACTGGAATGGCCACCTCTGTGCCTCTACCAATAACGTGAGGGGTAAACTACACCGGAGGTTCTAATGGCTTCTTGAGGCAGAAAAAAAAAAAAAGAAAAGAAAAAGGAAAACCCTTTCCCCGTGAGTAAAATCTAATATAGAAGACCCAAGTCAGAACTTAATCCTTGAAGCACACATTGGGGAAGATTTTGCCCAACTGTGCATCAACTGACAAACCGGTCCTGATAAACCGCAGTGTATCTAATCTATATGATAACAGAGGGTACTCTGAACCTCAGGGACATTAGATACAGAAGCCAATCAAAAATGACTGCATATTGTGCAACTCTGTTAAAAAACAAAACAAAAACCCTGCCCAGGACAGGAAATCCATGGCAGATAGGCCGTTTCCAGGGGTAGTGGCGGTGGAGGTCTGGAGATGTAGGGAGTTTGTACAGGGATGGGTTCCTCACGGAATGACAAAAGATTTTGGTGCTAGATGGACTGATATCCCTACAACACTGGGGTACTTAGTTACCAATGTCACTAAATACATCTGAATTGTGGGCTTTTGGGGAGGGGTGCTAGGGATGAAATCTAAGGCCTCACATATACTAGTTACACCCCAGTCCTCCAGGGTGTATAGTCCTAAAAATGTATAGTCTGCTAATTTTACTCCCATAAAGATCATCAGCCTCCCCATATCCATGTTCCTAGGGCTCCTCCACTGAGCCCCAGTATGGAAATCGATAGATATTAAAGTTTTCCAGTCAGTCAGTTCTCTTTGACAGCTGCCTTCTTCACTGTAAAGGTAATCTCTCCTAGCCTCCCAAATACACATGTCCCAGTGACATCCTCAGCACAGCCCTCTCCAATGTCACTGCCTCAGATTTGTGACACATCATTGGTTTCTAAACTCACAACTCTGCAAGAAAGGAAAGTAACAACTGATCATTGCTTTTTGTTTGCTTCATGCCCAGCAGGTGACTTCCTCACTGATGACAGCCTGCTGTCAACACTGTGGTGGCAGTCACCCACAACTTCAGCCCCCAGGAAGCTGACCCAAGAGGTGTGAAAGTTCCAGGCTAGACCACACAGGGAGACTCTGCCTCAAAAACCAATATCAAACCAAACAAAAACGTGTCCACTAAATTGTTTCCTATGAATGTGGTGTTTTATTTACATGTTGTCATCTATTATGTAGAAAAGGCTTTCACAGGCTCAAACAGCTGTACAACTCTCTAAAGCACTTGCTAACACCTACCACAGAGGAAAGATCTGAAGGTCATTTGTTAGCCTCACTAGAAATCACTTTGTTTGGTTCTTTCTATAGCTCACGCCTGGCCGGGAATTTACAAGATAACACAGGCTTTCCTTGAATTTATGGCAATCCCATCAGCCTCTGAGTGCTGGGATTACAGGCATAAGTCATCATGCGGGCAAAGAAAGCGCTGTTGGTTATGTTTGGAAGGAGGTCAGCAGGGTCAATCTCCTCTGCCACAGAATACCTGTGACTGCTGCCAGCCTCACCTAGACAGGTCCCAGGGTTTACAGAGGAGCAAGGCTTGCGGTGGTGCAGGGGACATGGAGCCACAGGGGACACGGGGGTGCAGGGGACACGGGGGTGCAGGGGACACGGGGGTGCAGGGGACACGGAGCCGCAGGGCACACAGGGGTGCAGGGGACATGGAGCTACAGGGGACACAGAGCTGCAGGGGACACGGAGGTGCAGGGGACACAGCTGCAGGGAGTACCGGCACATGTTAGAGCCTTGCTAATGATTCTTCTACACTTTCCAGAGAAGTCTTGGGGGGGGGTCAAGAGAACCCCACTCCAGCTGTCTTGATGACAAACACCCCAAGTAGGAACTAATAAGGACCAACCACATGCTCTAGAACCAGGCATGGAAACACACACACTAGTCATCTTTCTGTCTCTAGGGAGGCAGAGCCAGGAGGATAGTGAGTTCCAGGCCTTCCTTAGCTTCATAGTGAGACCCAACTCAAACAACAGACAACAGCAAAAACAAGCTGAAAACTCTGCTTCTACAGGCAAGTTGGGGCTGGAATTCCACTGTGACGTCACTCAGTACAGCTGGACTGGGAATGGTGTGGTCTCAGAACCGCATCACGCCCGGTTCATGGCCCATCAGCCCTACATACTTTCTCTAGCCCCTCCCTGTGCATTGTCCAGTTATCTTGAGACACAGGAACTGAGTAAATTCAGCCTGGAGCCTGGTAAAGTTACCACAGCAATAATTGCCTATGTACCCATGCACTTTGCAGACTGCAGTGTGCTCTCACGGATGATCATTGCTGGCTAAAAATAAAATAAACTGAAGTGGAATTAAGGGGAAGAAACCAGTAAATGGCATTCAGCTATTCCCACACCTCCTGATGCTGGTAAGAAAGAGGGAGACGAAAAGGCTTCTAGATTAGGATGGAAGCTGGAGTCCTGAAATTCTGTTCCTAGATATCGATACAAAGTCAATGCTTTTTAAATTAAAAGTGAGATGTGGCTACTTATGAGTTGATAAGTTATAAAATGCCTCTTTCATCCTTCCCAGTCAATGGTCCCAGCCTCCACTGCAATTAAATTTCAGATCTCAGCTCAGACGGATTGCATAGGTAACGCGAAGCAAGGACAGGGAAAAGAAAGCTGTCCCTGTGCTGTTTTAGTGTGAAGGGCAGAGACGCTGAGTCCTCTGTGTTAGCAAAGTTTAACAACTGCTCAGGAAGCCTGACTCTGAGCTCAGAGGAGACGGGGTGTGTTCAAGGCAGTATGGCCAGAGAAGAGCCCTCTGATAGGCTATCCAACCCCAGCTCCAAACACGCATACATAACAGCAACACTAATAAACGTGGTAGATTTTATATGTATAATAATTATGAAGAGGAGGCCATGAATATTGAGATGGCATAATAGAAAGGACATATGGGAGAGAGAGAGGATAAGGAAGGGATGAAAATGATGTAATATAGTACCCACCTACGAAATTTTCAAAAGAAAAAAATTGACTTACATTTTAAAAGTATGCTCAGGCCACACAATGGATTTTGAGCTTTCTGTTCCCAGTGAAGAAGTCAGAATACCAGTGTGTCAAGGTTACCCTAAACTACTCTGCACCCCAAGGTACGGAAAGCCACCCACTTCTGCCTGCATGCCCAGTCTCTTGGGATCTCATCTTGACCATTGAGATCAATAACCATTACAGAACAGATTTTTAAGGAGTGTGCCTTATTGCAATTAATCTAACTAAACTGCAACTCCAACCAGTGTTTTTTTTCTGAGGGCTAAGTAGCGAGAGGAGCTACATATGTTCAGCCAGTGGCCACCTCATTTGCCTGCTGTCTGTCTGGCCTGCAGTTCTCAGAGGACTTGGTGGCCCAGGGACAGAGACGCTAAAGCAGGGTCTGTGGCAGCGTCACCTGCAGAACTGGCCTATGCAAAGCACAGGTCAATGTTCCTGGGAGGCTGCCAGCATGGCAAAGTTACTCTCCTGCAAGGTAAAGGTTGCTCACCCACGATTGCCAAGACACAGCACCTAGGGAACCCACAGACGTCTGTGGACAAACCTCTAAGCCATAGGCACAAAATTGGGCACTGCTGAAGGTGGGGACCCCAGTGCTGCATCCTCAAGGCTGCTCTGTGGTTCTCAGTCACATTCAAGGGTGAGAAGCATTGCCGTGCAGTGATGCAAGCATGAGCTGGGCTTGTGCCCACGCGAGGAGTCTCAACAGAGGGACCCAACAAATGTCACTGGCTGGGGAAGTCAGCATCCCTCCTTGTCTCCAGCCATGGCAGGCAAGGGTTGACACGTCTGTGAACTTTTGGGTCGGTCTGATGCATCACAGGTATGAGAAGAACTACTTGAAACGTTTGCTTTAGGGTTTCTGCCTAAAATCTAGGCACAACTATAATCAGTCAACAGGTTCTTTGTGGGAGCCTGAACTTCGTGTTAGTGAAGGGCAAACAGAACACGTTGGCCAAGTGAAATGTTCTTCATATCTAGCATGATTGCATGAAGGGCGAGGCAGGGACATGTATCCTCCTCCTTTGTGGCCCCATGGGTGGCCAAGACTGGCAGAAATTTAATTTGGACATGTGCTAGAGGTGCAGAAGCCCATGGCATCTGCCCTGGAAACACGGAACTCAAAAGCGTCCACCACAAGAGTGAGGAGCACTGTGAGGGAAGGCAGAGGCAGCTCTCCGCATGTCCAGCTGCTGTGTCCTCTCCAGCACGCTGGAGTGCTCTTTTGTGCGTACGGATCTCAAACAGTCATGGGAAGTGCAGATCTTATCACCAAGGGAAGCTGATGGACACCTCCAGATTTGGATAACCGTGGGAGATTTATCACTGAACTCCAACCTTGGCGTAATTCCTGATCCTATTGGTGTATTGGTGTATTGGTTGGTTGGTTGGTTGGTTGGTTGGTGGGTGGGTGGGTAGGTGGGTGGGTGGGTTAGCTGGTTGGTTGGTTAGCTGGTTGGTTGGTGGGTGGGTGGATGGGTGAGTGGGTGGGTTAGCTGGTTGGTTGGTTAGCTGGTTGGTTGGTTGGCTGGTTGGTGGGTGGGTGGGTGGGTTGATTGGCTGGTTGGCTGGTAGTGCTGGGAGTTGGACTCAGGGTCTCACACATGCTAGGCATGTGTTCTACCACTGAGTTGTATTCCCAATCACTCCTGATTTTGAGTTGCTGGTTGCTTGGGACTGTTTATAAAATAAAAAAGAGGTTTGATTTATTCATTTAGATTTCAAGAAGCTACTTCACTTAGGACCCAAAGCAGCTGAGAAATGAAAGAGTCGGCAGAAATGAGTGACAAAATAAAGACTTACTGCTTCTCCTTTTTCTTCTTCAGAGGGTCCATGAGGCGCAGTGTGTCTCTGATCACGGCCACCTTCACCTCTTCATCCACCAGGCTTGGGATATTTTCAAACACCCCTGGAGAGAGCTTGGAAGGTAAGGGTTCCGGGTCAGAGCTAAACCGTGATCCACTTCTGATGCTAACCCTGAGTGCCTCCACCTAGCTCAGTGGTTTTGCAATTGTGCATCTGGTCCATGCAAACTCTTAGAAGGGAGTGTTAACCCTCCTTCATCTTAGCTTAAGTATGCAAATAACCTTTTATAAATCCACAAAACTCACAAAATAACAGCATATGGTTTTGTTGTTATTGATATGATTTTGTTTTGTTATCCCAGGCTGGCCACCAACTTGTTATGTAGCTGGGGATGGTCTTAACTCGTGATCTCCCTGCCTCCCACCCCACTCAGGACTCCTGGGGTTACAGGTGTGTACCACCATGCCTGGTCATAGCTAACACTGTGCTTCTTGGATTATCAAAATTATACATTCGCACTATGTACCAGCTGGGAATATGGAAAGGGCATAAGAAAATTAAAAGAATCCAGATAATCCCCCCAAAACGCAGTAGTAATTTTAGGGGTATTTCCTCTGGCTCCTCAAATTCATTTGGGTGAGGAGCACAAGCACTCTTAAATGTACTGTTTATCTTAGCGGCTCAAGCATGGCGACACGGCTAACTCATATTCATAGGATTTCCATTAGTTTATCTCCTGAGGCTAACTAATTAGTTCATGTCAAAATGGATGGGAAGGCTCAGCTGCTTCTAAGTTTCCCACCTTAAAAATGAGAAGAACGGCATGCTGGGAAATTACAGTGGGTCGGAAAGGTCTTTTATTAATAGACTCTCTTTGGAGCTTGGCAGAACTAAAATTGTTTGACTCGAGCAGAATTTTGCTGTGAAGTTTGAGGGTGGCAAACCCTGGTCAGTCAAAGGGACGCCTCACAGGTAGGGCTAGACGGATCAGGGAATGCTGCAAGCACTTACTTCGTACTCATGCTCAATTCTCATGCTGGGGTTTGCATTCACTTCTAGTAGCATGGGCTTCAGGTTTTTCATCAGAAGAATGTCAAAGCCTAGAATCTGGGCAGAACAAACATAATTCAGAATTACTCCCTCTGGCCACAATGTCTTCTCAGGAGTTGAGTATGGTATTAGGGTCATTAAGGGAAAATCAATTCATACTCCAACCTTGACCTTGACCTGATCTCCCACTCCCCCAGTCCTTGCTCCTCTGTGTGTATACTTGTCAGACCAAACAGCAGACTTTTTATGGAAACCTTGGTAATGGGATGTGTTCCCACAGTGCATTTCAGTGCTATCTGTGCCATCCCAAGTGCCATAAAACGGTGCCCTCTCTCCTCTTTCACAGGCTTTTCGTTATGTGAAGGGTTACTAGCAGTCCGTCAGTTTTTCTCCTGGCCTTTTCCACTCTCCTCTGTTAAGTTGCTTCTTGGCTACATCTCTGGAAGCCTCAGGCCACCTTTCTCAACCTGGAGTGTGTATGTGAGTGTCTTGTAAGTTTCCAAAGCAGCTCATCCCCCAGGCCACACCTGCTGTTAGGGTCACTCAGAGCAGAATGTAGGCAAGCACGTTTGGGAAACAGCAGTCACCTTCCCCGGGTGAGTCTGATACAGCCTCTTGTGTGTATGTGTGTGCGTGTGTGTGCCTATACACACATGCGCACACATGCGCTCACAGAGAGAGACAGAGATGAGGAAGGAGGGAGGGAGAGGAGAGGTTTATTTTGGAAAATATGACATTGGGATGCCAATCACCATCCCCTTTTCCTGATCCTAAGATCCCTAGAGTTGTGCATGTTACACACACACACACACACACACACACACACACACACATGCACAGCATTAGTAACTATACAACACATCAAAGATGCACAATTCCATTAGATCCTATGAAGAAGACACTCTTGGAAGGAAGCAGAATTTGAGCCTCGGAAAGCATCGTGGGTATTCTCAGTACTGCCTACCTAGTGAGTGAGTGAGTGAGTGTTGTTAGCCTTTACACCTGACGTGGACCAATCACACGCACGTCCAGTATAAGATGAGTGTGTGCTCTTTGCTCACAAAGCATTAGCAGTCTCCGGGCGGTGACGACAGAGCGTTAGACCAGGCTAGACAGCTACCTGAATGTGGCCCCTGTGCAGCCACTCCGCGGGTCACCACTCAGGCTAGCCCCGTGCTCAACGCTCACTCCAGCACCAATTGTTGAGCACCTGCCTTTGAAATCATCACCGCTCAGCTGCAGGTGAGGCCTCGTCCTCCAGCTGCCCTGTCCTCTTTGAATTCCATACAAGTCCTTCCATCAGGCCAAGCGCTCTCTTCCTCACACAGCCCTTTACTTGGACAGCTTTGCATCCTTGAGATCTTTCCTAATGAGGTTCAGACTCAACTACATGGACCTCCCAATCTCAGGGCATAGGGTTCCCATTATTTCCAGAGAAGTGATAACATTAGAAAATTTCTAACAAAACTGACACATCCCAGAGCTTTAAACAAATAAATAAATAATGCAGAAGAGGGCAAAAAAGAAAAAGGTGTGGTGTAGACTCCCCTTTCTCTATGGACTCCAGAGGGAGAGATGAGGAGAATCCATCACTCATCCATATAGAATATGCATTAGTTAAATGATAATTATCAAACTGTGGCTTCATCTATATTAATGAAATCAAAGTCTAGATGGCCTTTTTTGGGGATGATTCAAGATGAACTTATGTCTCAGTGAAGGGCAATCAGGATAAGGAGCCTGGAAAAATCACCCTTGTACTATTTTTCTTTCCATGGTCATGAAAAGGAAGGAATGGAAATCAGTAGAAAATGCTGCATGTATTACAGATCTGCTCAATAATAAATGACAAGTGGAGATGAGTGATGAGGCCTTCAAGAGACGCCATGACACCAGCAGTGTAACTTCGGACCTAGCCTGAACCATGTGTGCAGATGAGGCCGAGGACAATGGCTGGCCACTGTGCCGGCACTGGGCATCCGACTGCCTCCCTGGCTCCCTGCTGCATGCACAAGTATGGGTTTTCACTTCTTCACGGTTAGACTCTTTCTGTTGCAGGCCCAATAAACTAGTGAATGTGAAGGGATGTTGACAACGGAGAGAAAAGGGCAGTGAAACGTCTTCCAACGAATTGGCTGGCACCCACCAGTGCCACCTACTCAAGAATCTGAACGTGGGTACACGGTTTTGAATGGCTTGAGTCTTACACAGGAATGCTTTGGAGTTAGAAAGCCCTGGGCTCTCAGCTCAGCTCAGTCTCTCTTACTAGCTCTTTAACAGGCTTTAGGGAAGGTGTTTAACTTCTCTGGCCTCATTGAAAAACGGACATAACATGGAAGTCCGGGAGGGCCACCAATTATGGGTATGAAAAATGGTACCTAGGACTGTGCTCACCCTATGGAAGCTGACCTATGCTAACTCTCTCCCCACTTCCCAACTAAGTCCTTTAACAAGAGATGGCATTGGTGTGCTGTGGAGCCTTCAACTACATGAAGCTCCTTGGTGGCTCTAGGCTCAACTGTCTTCATCTGTAAAATGGGAAAAAGGACTTCCATTCATTTATTCATTAGTGCCGTATTTACTGAATCCCCTACAACCATGCACCATCAAGTAGGACACACAATGGAATACATTCTGCAACGTACTTGACACACACTGTGTGTTTAAGGAGATCAAAGAATATTATATCTTTTAAGTTCAAGGACATCTGCATTATTTTCCTCTCAAAAAGTTAGATGATGAAATATCCAGTACCCATGAATCTCAGATTCAACCTGGAGTTGGATCATGCTGTTAAAATCCCAGAATATCTGAACTGGTAAACAAATAAAGTCTGGAAGTTTCTTGGTCCAAAACTTCTCAAGATGCTGTTCTTTTGGAAGGAGCCAGATTGGATTGACTTTGACCTATTTTTAAAATGTTACACTCTCAGGAAGAGACATTTATGATTTTCTTCTTTTTTGAAAAATCCCTAATCTCATCTAGTCCCTTCTTTTATGAGACCCCAGAAAGCTGCAGCCTGGGAAGGGAAGGACCTCTTTCTACCTCTCTCCAACTGTTGTGGCATAGCAAGGGTTGTTAAACAGAGAGGTGGCTTTTCAGTCATGTGATCATCCTCTCACTTAAAACACCTGTTCTTCACTACAGGCCTCTAGAAGCTTCTAATTGAGTTGAAGATGGTCCTGAGCAACCTGTAGACTCTCACAAAGGTTTCAAGCTACATTCCACAGACAGAGTTCTCCTCTGAGTGAGTGACATGACCATCTGAATCAAATGTTCTCAACAAGGAGGTCCAGGACTCCTCACATTCTACATATATCTGCAGTCTGTGGTCTCTAATGTGAGCCCAACTCTCCAGTATTCAAGAGTTTGTGCAACTCCTCATCACCTCTACCCACCTGAGCGTAGGCTACATTTAGTGACTTATATCTGATAGAAGGGCAGACATAATGGTGCGTCACTTCCAACATTAAGTTAAAATAAGACAGTGGTATATGTGTATGTCTTGGGGTGCTTTCTCCCACTCTGAAAGAAGCAACCAGGCATGTGAGAAGGATAGAAATGATATGATTTCTCCAGCTACCCAGCAGGCAGGACTTTTGAGGTCTGTCAACATTATGAGTGAGCTGTGAGGAGGGCCTTGCTCAATAAGGCCTTGAGAGGACTGAAGCCCTGGCCAGCCTGCAAACTAGAGCCCTGTAAGGGACTTTGAGCCAAAAGCACATCAGTCACTCTCAGATTCTGCCCCCCCCCAATGAGATCTCACTATGTAACCCTGGCTGACCTAGAACTCACTATGTAGACTAGACTAATCTCTAATTCACAGAGATTCCCCGTCTCAGCATCCTGAGTGCTAGAATTATACACAGATTTTTTTCAAGTTTATCATATTGGGGTTTTCAGATCTATTTATTTTATTATGTTCTGTATGCGAGTATATTGATTGTTTGTATGTTTGTGTACCATGTGTGTGTCTGGTACTGGCTGAGGTCTGAGAGTTGTGAGCCACTGTGTGGGTGCTAGGAATCGAACCTGTGTCCTCTGCAAGAGCAACAAACGGTCCTAACTGCTAAGCCAACTCTCCAGTCCCTACCCCTACACTCTTGATCACCACTAATTTGTCCCATAGTGATATATAACGAACACAGCACCCTTTTCCTTTAAAATCTACTGTTTCCACACTCCTTATTCAACCTGTCAATCAAGTCACAACCTCTCCCCTTATCTACCTGGTCACCAGCTCTTTTAAGACCTTTCTGGATCTGGCCACCTCACTGTTAGCACCCCACCTCAGCTCTCACCCCTTTAAGTCATCTGATGAGGTGGCAGGGTAACTTCTAGAATACAAAAAGAAGACTAACTCTCCCCTGGCTCATCTCTGCCCATAAAAGTTCAAGTCCTGTGGCACGTCCTTCACGTGCCAGGATTGACTGGATTCTATCACACACACCCTAAGGCCCTCCCCACACTGCTCACCTGGGTTCTGATTACACAGCTCTAGTTTGTTTTAATTTGCTATCTCCCCCACCCCCACCCTTCCTGGACGCCATTATTTCACTGTCAAGTATTTACTCAACACCTGTTCCAGGCACTAGGAACAAACAACTCAAAATAACACTTCTACTGTCTCCAGGGCTCCCATCTCAGGAAAGAGAGGGCCATGAGCAAACTAAAGTTACAGCAAGTAGGAAACAGCTTAGCTATCAGAGTGGTCAAGGACGTCATCCCAGAGAGAGGTCTGAACTTCTTCAGAAGGCACTGAATATCCTTCCATCTTGACCAGTGAACAGGAGAGAGCAGAGTAGGCTGGCCAAGATGTAGAGAGAAGGTTCTTCTCGGCTCTTAAGAAGGCTCTTCCCCACGTTTGGAACCAAGCACACCCCCCTGGGTCCCCACTGAGAGGCCTGAGCTGGGTGTGGACCAAGGTAGGAACACACAAGTGTGGTAGGGTGGGCAGGGGGGGGGAAGGAGGGCCAGGGAGGGCCTCTGTTCTTCTTTGGGAGGGGGTTGAGACAGGTTTCTCTGTGTAACAGCCCTGCAGACCAAGCTGGTCTCACAGAGATCGACCTTCCTCTGCCTCCCGAGTGTTGGGATCAAAGGTGTGAACCACCAGGGCCCTGCTCAGGGAAGGGCTTTCCAAGGACTCTTGTCAGCCGACTGTCTTTGGACTCACACAGCTTCTCCCGGGGTGTGAATGTCATTCTCCCTCTCAATAACATCTGTCTTCTTATCTCTATGGCTGCTTTAAAGTTGATCTCATCAACTGATTATTTATGCTGGTTATTTATGATTTGATTGTAAGTCTTAGGGTGTGTGTGTGTGTGTGTGTGTGTGTGTGTGTGTGTGTGGGTGTGTGGGTGGGTGGGTGTGGGTGTGTGTCCTGTTTGGAGTTGGTTTTTGTTTTTGTTTTGTTGTTTTAGCTTCTTGAATTGTGAGCTTTTGTTACGTTTGGAAAGTTTCAGCTATGGTTCTTTAAATGTTTTCCTGTACTTTCCCCCTCTCCTTTATCCTGGGGCCTCAAATGAACACATATTAGGCCCTGGTATGCTTCACGATTTCCTGTCCTGCTCTTCTCTGTTCGCTTTTGCACAGCTCATGGTATCTTCAAGTTCACTGCTGTTTCCTTCAGTGTCTTGTTTGATGCTAATCTCAGTCAGTGAAAATTTCACATCAGAAACAAGATTTTATTTTGTTTGTTTGCTCCTCTATTTTCTAAAGATAGGGTATCACCATGTAGCCTAGGTTGACTTCCATTCTCCTGCCTCAGCCTCCTGGTGTTGAGACAGATGTGGACCACCACGCTGGACTTGGATTTTTGTCTTTTTAAGAGTTTCACTTGCTCTTTTTAAGGACTTCTAGTTCTCTCATTAAGGTAATATTTTCCTTAAACTTTTGTGTATCACTATAATAACTATTTTATTATCCATTTCCTGCTATTTCTATCATCATTAAGACTTTGATCTAGTGAATGCTTGTCTCCGCTTTCTTCCTGTGTGCCCTGTTTAGTGATTTCTTAAGATGGATGCTGAGGACTGTGGTACCATGACATATGTCCAGATTCTGTCTCAAAACCCTGAACTCTGTGCTGCTTCAGTCTTTGTGGGTTATTCTGACACCTTAAGATCTTGTTGTTTATGGTCAAACGGTCTGTGCCACGCCCACCCATGGAGGCAGAACATCTTTGATGTCTCCACTGAACACACCCAGTAGCCAGCAAGGCCTCTGGTCTCTAGAAGTTCATGGCTAGAACTCCTCCCTGTCCTGTGTGAGCTTTGGAAGGTCACCTTATCCATTCCAGGTCATTCTTTCCCAGCCTTGTAGATGAACCCTACCCACATGTATATATGATCTAGGACTCCACTAAGACTTGCTGGGACCCTGGGACAGATTTCTGGGGATCATCCCTGACCTGACCAGTGGCTTCCCAGCAGCACACCACCAGTTACTTCCTTTGAGGTTACCAGTGTCTGTGTGGCACTCCATCCTTGACCTGTGCTCCAGACACTGCCTCCAGACAGGAAACAGGGGCAACAATAGGATTTGTTTTGATTCCCTCCTTTTCTTGGGGTCCATATCGGAAGGCCACACCTACCATCCAAAGCCTAAACACTTATTTCATATACCTACTTTTATGTGTTTTTGGCAGCCTAGCTGTTTGCATAAAGAGATTAAGCTCAGTCTTTGTGGCTCCATTATGACCAGAACTGTGAATTTCAGAAGGTAATGTGTCAACAGTGAATGAAGTAAGACAGTGAGTCCTGCTTGAAGGGCTGGCAAGAACATTCTAGAAGAGATCATTGAGAACAGAGGCCACTTTTGAATGACAAAATGTGTGGCAAGAAGGAACGTGACGGGAGTCCTGACAGAGTCAAAGGGTGGATCGGGTAGCCTCCTCCAGAGCACGCTGTGCAGCCAGGACTGAGTACAATGAAGAAACCGTCGGAGGGTTTGAGCGAGGGAAGGTAGCCTAATTTGACTTGTAATTGTAAAGGTTCTTGTTGGCTACAGCAGGGTTGCTTGGTTGGATGTGGCTAGAAGGGTCTGAAAGCTAAGGACAGTTTAGATACCTTAAGACCAGTGGCTTCTGGTCCATGTGAATGCGGCTCGCTTATTGGGGCAGGAATGATGGTGGACTGCAGGCTCTAGAAGGAAGGGCAAGAGTTGGATTTCCACCCCAGTAAGTGTTTGGTGCCCACTAGCTCTCCCAGTAGAAAGAGTAAGTGGGCAATGGGATATTTCAGTCCGGAGCTCAAGCAGATGTCATGATCAGCAATGTGAATTTAGGACTCAACGGCACGCGACTGATCCCAAAAGCCATGGGACAGAAGATGTAGATGTACGAAGTCCAAGAATCGATCCCTAGGGATGTCCATTACTGACAGGTCCAGGGGAAGGGGCTCAGGGGGAGCAACCAGTAAGGTAGCAGGGAAGCTTGGAGACGGTGGGTCCTCCATCTGCTGTGAGAGCCTCTTCATGCCTTACACTCACTTTGCCATCCCCTCCTCTGGGAGCCGTCAGTTGAGCAGGCAACTGTCCCCTGATCCTGTGTGTGCCTTTGGACAGCATGACTTACAAGGAGCTGTGACTATCTCTGTGAGTCATCCACACTAAATGGAGTAGCCCTTAGAGGCACCGACCTTGTTTGACCTTAGCCACAGGCCCCACACCTAGTTCAGGCCTATCTCAGTGGGGACCAGGGAATGTGCTTGACTCCAAAGGAGGGAACCAGCTTAGCTATCAGAGTGGTCAAGGACGGCATCCCAGAGAGAGGTCTGAATATCAGAGCCAGTGAACAAGAGAGCAGAGTAGGCTGGTCAAGATGGAAGAGAACCAAAGTCCCAACCCGGACAGCACCATCGATGCCCGAGGGAGAGGACCCAGATCTGGTTTGGGAGATCTAAAGTTGAGGCACATGACAGCTAGGGAAGCCGACTAGGAGGTGACGAATGCCAGACTAAGGGCTTGTTTTCCAAACTTCACAACACCAATGTCCCAGTTAACATTAAAATGAGAATTGTTGCCAATTTATCATAACTTCAAGGTCATTCCTTGTGGGCACGTGTGAACACTGTTGCCATAGGAACAGTGTAATAAGCATCTGACCTGTTACTTAGGGACTGCTCCACACAGCTCTCTTCCTGGAATATGCAACAGTTCTGGAGTGTATCTACAAAGGTGTTCACTCCCTGTAGGTAAGGAAACCCGGACTAGGAAAGGTTGACTCATCCAGCTCGCCGGGGACAGTTGCACAAGAGGGAACTGGGGGAAGATTAAGCCCAGTGTGTTTGAGAAGGAAACTCCCCCTGACCACTCGGCTGGTTCTTGGCTTCTGTCTGCTGGAGTGTCTGGGCTGGGGGGTAAGGAAGAGGGCACAGAGGAACAGGGAAGGAAGACCATGCTAGGTCTTAGGAAGGATAACACCTCTAGACATCCAACACAGGGTCATAGCCAAGGACAGACTTAGACACGGGGAACAGGAACAGTATACAGGCAAAGCCACAGAGTGGGGAAGAGCCTTCTCTCTCCACGCTACATGTGTCTCTGCCACGTGGTCAGCTACACCCTAGCTGACCTTGATGTTTAAGCCAGGGTCCCACTGCTGCCCTCAAGACAGCACATGTGAGTTTCTGTGACTGGGGCTGCCTGGATAATGACAAGGGATGGGGTGGAATGACAGGGCAGCTGTGTCCCTCAGCAGCAGATTACAGGAAATCCGACCACAACTGAGCCATGCCAGCTGTTCCTCGGCCATCATGTTTCCCAAGTCATTACTGTGGTCGTGGCTGGAACAGGGTCACAGTCACATGCCCCATTGCGTGGAACACGGTTGACCGGAGGATTTTATGTTCTGCAATGCTGCTGTCTGGCCAGACCTTGCTACAAGCAAGGAGAACTACCCAGCAGAGAGGCGACTTCTTGTGTTTGTGCAGCATCTCAAGTGTTGGCGGAGTGTTTCGTCTTCGTCTTTATCTCACGAGAGTTGGACACCAACCCTGTGAGGCAGATGAGGAAATTGAGTTCCTGAAAAGTTAAGTGACTTAGGACAGGTCACATGGCAAAGGGACATCAGAACTATAGCAGGGCCCAACCCCGGTCAAAGTCTGCTCAGGTCTCTGGAGCCCAGCTAAGGGCACCCTGAAAAGCGGTGCAAGCAAAGAAAGCAGAAGCGGGCTGGGGGGGGGTGTGGTCCGGGGGGTGTAGTATGGGGGGGTTGTGGTCTGGAGGGTGTGGTGGGGGGGTGTGGTACGGGGGGTGGGCACCCATTCCTCTCCCTGGATGTACATTTGAGACAGGCAGCCAACAAATGCTAAGCGATACCACTGGCTACTTGCTAAAGCCTCCACCCGCACCATTTCCCAGTGGGCCGAGACAGGTGAGTGTACAGAGAGAGCCTGGGGGGCACGGGGTGGTGAGAGAGCCTCCCACGCTTGTGAAGCTAGAACGGACTCCTCAGGAAGTGTTCGCTGTGGTCAAGCAGTAGCAAATGGTCACAAGGCTGGACCCACCTGCTAGATGTGAGCTGACCAAACCAGCCGCCCTGGGTCTGGGCCTTCAGTTCTCTACAGCTGGCCCTGCCCCCACCCCAGTGGCTGCCTGTCTACTGCAAGACAGGTCCCAGATGACCATCGCCGCCCTCCCTGCCACAACTTTGACCATGCTAGGCCTCTGCGGCTTGGCCATGCTTGCCTGACCCCACGTCATGCTCCTAGAATAGCTGTCACTACCCAATGGGCATGACCACACAGTCCTCACGCCTGAGCCCTGTGTGTGACCCCGTCACAGATGTCTCCTCCAGCCTCTCTGTGTGGTGGCCTGGGTCAGGACTTTTGCTCTAACATGCGTGGAGTCTTCCTCACCTGCCCGTTCTAACCATCTCCCATGGCTATTGGACACACCTGCTTAGGAACTGAAGGCATGGGCGCCAGAGGTCCATGGACAGGACTCTAGAGGACAATCACTACTTCCTGTTTGTCCTGCCTCCTCCATTCCCACCCCTGGGGCTTTTACCTGATGTCCCTGATGATAGGGACCAAGCCCCCTGCCCCCCCCCGAGCAGGCTCTCACACGTGAGCTGGTGAGTGGGCGTCCAACCCCTCTCCTCACTCTGGCCATTTACCGCCTGCCACCCTGCTAGCATGGCCGGGAAACACTGGTCTTCCTTGACAGACAGCCCGGCGTGATAAACCCCACTGTGCGTACGTGTAGGGGTGCACACCAGGGCAAGTGAAGCCACCAGCAGCCCCGACAGTCACGTGGACCTTCTGAGTGCTGCCTGCAAGGGAGCAGGTGCTCCAAGGGACAGGACTTCACACTGGGGCTTTTTCAAAGCTCCGACGTCAGTCAGATAAGACAGTACCCTGTCTAGGGGAACATTTATGCATGACTACGTGTGGTTTTGAAAGTCGAGAAAATGGCCAACATAACATTCAGAAAGTGACTATGTAGAGGGCAGGCTGGGGATGGAATAGGGAAGAGTACACTAAGGAGGCGGGCAGCACGTCAGTGATCATTACAAGTATCTTCTGTGTTCTTTTAACACACACGCATGCACACACACACATGCACGCACACATGCATGCACACACACAGGCGCACACACATGCATGCACAAACACGCATGCATGCGCACACGCAGGCACACGCAGGCATGCACACACATGCACGCATGCATGCGCACACGCAGGCACACACACACACTACTATGAAAGTTAAAAGATTAGGTGGCTAGGATCCAAGAGGTTCTTGTCTTGTCTGTTCTGACAGATCAGTGAGTGCCCGGTCTCATGTCCTTGACATCTGTGTTTTTAAGAGCTGTTTCACACCACTCTCCATTTCCTTCCCTCTCACAGACTGGCTGGTTGCCCAAGACAGTTCTTGCTAGAGTTCCCCGGACAAGTGTTAGTGGACACCATGGACATGAATAGTCTTGCCTGGCATCCTGGCAATGTTTGAGGCTGCAGGTCCATGCCCAAGTGTTCTGAGTCCCTTTTCCTTGCATTTCTGGCATGCTCACCCTAGACCAAACTTCTCAGTCTCCTTTGTGGGTCCCCTGCATCTGCCCATCCCTTAGGGAAGCAGGGGTGCCATCGGGGTCCTGTCATATGACCTCACACCCTCACTGCAGTGAATGAGTTCTCTGCAGCCCACCGTGTCTTTCCTGGACAGCTGCCCGAACATCCATGTGTGTGCTAACCTCTCCTTTCAGTTGTCACACGGGCATCTTACCCCCAGCTCCTGGCCCTCCCCGCTAGCCAGCCCTCTGCTAGTAGCCCCTCTCCATCCTTCCAAGAGCCCATGCCATCTCCATCTCAGCTCTTCTTCCTCTCTTCTCCATTACCATCTCTCCCCAGGCCACATGGGCGCCGAGTCTAGCCATCCAACCTCATAAATGGCACTCAGCTTCACCTACTCCCCATGCCCACCGAGACCTCCCCACCCACGCTGAGCCAGCATCTTGTGCTCACACAGACGTGTTTCTCTGACTGTAGTCTCCTCACAGGCAGCCCCGGCTCATCGCCTAATCCACAGGTCATGGCACTGTGTGTGTACTTGACAACGGAAGTTATGGTGTAATCTGTTTCTAGGGCTCCGATGGTTGCCACTGCCCTCAGCGCCCACCGCTTGGCTCTACCCTGCTTTCCCACCTCCTTTTCTCTCACACCCCCCATCTGTGCCTCAGTTCCACCCCTGACCACAGTGAACTTCCTTTGGTGTCTCAGACATACCAGGCTTCCCTCCGAAGCAACATGTCTCTACCCAGAACATTCCATGGCTGTCCTATTCTTTCCTGCTTCATCTTTTAGCTAAGGTGAGTTCACAATCCCACAGCACCTAGTTCATTTCCTATTTGATTCTATCACTTGCAACACTATGTATCGATTGCGTCTGAGTGACTCCCCCCCCATGGATTATTGGCAGGGTTCTACAATGGCGGACCCCCTACTAAGTAGGTGGTAATAACTGTTCAGTGAATGAAGACTGTATGAATGACACGGGTGCTCTCACAGGAATCTCACAGATCTGTACTTCAATGACGGGAAGCGGCTTGCCCCAAGTCTCACAGGAAGGAGAAAGTAGGAAGTTGGACTGGAGGTTTCAAAAGCCCAGAGCAGCCACCACCTATGCCCCTATGTCTGGCCATCCTACCCCATCCTTCATCCCAGGCCAGGCCAAGGAGCTTTCCTCGGCCCGGTCAAGCCTAAGACATTCGGGGTGAAAGCTGGCATGGTTACCTGGAAGCAGGTGGGCCCCGGCCTCCCTGTAGGGATGTCTGACTGGTAGAAAACTTTGAGTTCCGGGGTCAGGGCGATGACAGTCTTGATCACCAAGGAGATGATATCAGACCAGACCTTCTTGATGTCCACACCTTTGGAAGAGAGTTTACAAAGAATGCTAGAGAACGTCCTCTTGCTGCCTGTGCTGGCACTGTCAGAGTGGATGAACTTGCCACTGTGGATGTTCAGTGAGTAGTTGGTCAGGTGCATGAAGACATGGTGCAGATTCTGGGAGTTTGGCTCTTGATATGGCTCTGTACAAAATCTAGACAGTCCATCTTTGGCTATATAAATCTCCAACGGGTCCAAGGACTTGAGCAGGACATACAGGCGGATGTCGAACTTGAGTTTGTCGATAAGGAGAGGCTTACAGATGTACTCCTGGACCACTGCCGGCCTGCTCTGGAGGGTCCCAGTCAGGCGGACGTCACTGGGATCTTTAATGAGGTAGATTCCATCGCCCTGACAACCACCATCTGGTTTCACAATAAAAGTGGGCTTCCAGGACCGATCACCATCTTTCACCATCCGGACCTGGGAGGGAGGGAGGGAAAGAGCCGTTGGTTCTGTGTCAGAAATCCCCCATTCCTGAGTGCTCACTAGGTGTCTTCCAGGGAAACGACACTATCCAGGGCTAAGAGACATAGGACTGCCCTCAGTCTTGTACTCTAGAGGGAGGTGGAACATGGATCAGAAAGGCAGTCACAAGACCTGAGTTCAAGTCACTTTGCCAACTCTTAGTTGTATTCTTGTACAAGTCATGTAACTAGTAACAATGACAATAGCTTAGTAGGATTTATGAGTACCTGTGATTGCTAGGCCCTTCATTAGGCACTTTCTACTAGCTACTTCATCAAACCCTCCCAGAAACCATAGTTGTCACAGAGGGACGCAGTGCAGGGTATGAAAGGAAAGAGCCTGCCTGGGTTCAAGCCCTGGCGCCGTCCTTTACAGTGCAAATCATTCCTCCCACACCTGTAAATAGAACCAAGAATGTCCTTGTTTTATCTCTTTGATTCTTCTTTGTTTTGAGACAGGGTATTTGTTTAGCCTGGCCTTGAACTTGCTCTGTAGCTAGGGATGACCTTGAGCTCCTGACCCTGCTGTTTTCACCTCCCAAGTGCTGGGATTACAGATAAGAAAACATCACACCGGGTTTATGTGGTGCTGGACTCTGTGCATACTGGGTAAGCATGCGACTGCCTGAGTCACCTCTGTGCATGCTGGGCAAGCATGTGACCACCTGAGCTTCCCCTGTGCATGCCGGGCAAGCATGCGACCAGCTGAGCTACGTCCTCAGCTCCAGACTGAGACTGAGCTAGGGATTCAATGAGAAAATAAATGTAGCAGACTAAGAACACAAAAGCTGACACGTGGCTGACGAGAACCCAGCCACTATCATCTTTTAAAGATGGATTAACTTGCCAGTTTAAGTGGGAGAGGTGGCAGAGTTGAGACTGAGTCTGGGATTGATGACTCTAAGTGCTGTGTCCTTCTCTGTACCCCTTTCAACCCTCAATGGAGCAATATAATGATGGGACCAACTGAAATGTACAAAGGACCACTCGCAGTCGCCCTGAACTAGCACAGGGGAAACAGGTTTTCTGGTTTATTATGTGTGTCTCACAGACTGCCAATCCTCTGGTCTGTTTGGGCCTTTTGAGAATTAGGTTCTATCATCCGCTGCATTTGCCTTCCTCCCCGATCTGGGTCAGCAGGGCACTCCTGTGATCATCCCAGGCACTTAGCCAGTTCGGATCTGAACCTGTTTGTGTATAATTTATAGGTACCTGATTCCTCCAGGCTATGGCTTGCTTCATGGTGTTCCCCTGGAGCTCACATGCTGGAAACTTAACCCCCATGTGCACATATTTGATGGAAACTCAAGGTGGAAACTTAGCAGGTAAAGTTGGAGAAGCCATGAGAGTGGAGGCTTGCGAAAGCACAGGTGGCTTCATAAGGAAGGGAGCGAGGTCAGCCCTGCCCACTGCTGGCTAGCACTTTTGCCATGCCTTGTCCTGTGATGCTCTCCACCACCTTGGGATGCAGCAAACAGTCCCTCGGTGGCTACCAGAATCTTGCCATTGGACTGTGGAGCTGAGACATACATTCTGTTCCCTACAAACTGGCCAGGCCCAGGCACTCAGACAGCAGAGACACCCAGATGTCCATGTTAGAGTGCTTTGGAAAGCTATGGAAGCAGATAACTAAGACGTTGAGAGAGGAGACTTTCAGTGGGGACATGTGAAGACAGACAAAGGCATGGAGGACACCTTGCTCTCTGCAGCTCCTGGCATGGAAGCTCTGATCTGAGCTGTCACCAGGAGCCGCACCGGCAGGCAGAGTCAGTGACGGTCCAGTGCTGGCCTCCTGTCAGCCTTTGCTGTGTAAGCCTGACCTAGGCCATCTGCACTCTAGAATGTACTTATCTCTTTGACTGGCCTATATTTCTAACTGAAGCTTTTGCCGATTCCTTGGGCTTGTAAAAGATCCTTAACAATGGAGAAACACGTAAAGCCTTAATAATGGTTCACATCAACTGTTTCCTCCATGTCAGCAGGATTCCAGAATGGAACTTCACAAGAGATCAATGCGGACTCCCGGCCCTCCACAGAGCCTGTCCAGCAACAGTGACCTTGATGTTTATGTCGTTATTTAATACTCATCCAAGGCATCCACATGCGTGGCCCTTACAGTAAATATGAGTGCAATGGACAAACGGCAGCCGTGGATCAGCCAGTGAAAAATGTCAGGCTTGCATTGATGGGTCACTTCTGCCTCTGCAAAGCCTTTTCTAGGCCAGTGATACCAACGGTCCAATATATTATCAGGAGTGATGTTTTCTCCTTTGAATTTGGGGTATGTGCCTTAAATAAATTAAAGTACATGGTCAATAGTCCCTGTCATTTATTACACTGTTGATTATTTCTTCTGCTCTTTGCCAGAGTTGTCACTACAAATCAAGATTATTAATTCTAATAGAATCGTTGAATTTTCTGAACAGAAAGCATCCTCGGAGATCCACATTATCCCATCCACTCATAATTCAAAGGGGAGGCCGAGGCTTAGAGAGGTGGCAGGGCTTGCCATGGGTCCCGTACCTGGCTAGCAGGGCAGTGAGGGTGAGAACCCAGGTCTCTCGGCCACTTTTACTTTTGAAAAGATAGAGACCTATTTTCTGATTGCCATAGGAAATGCTCTCTTAGTATCTCAGACGTTACCCACATCTGGGCTCTGGCCTCTCCCTGAATGAAGACGGCTGTCTCAGAACTGTTTGGTGGACCCTGAGCTGTCTAGGACACCCCAGTTTCAAATCTTCTGTCTGGATTCCTAGTGTGATCCGAAGCAAGTACACAGCCTGGCTCAGTCATTAGAGGAACTAACGGCCACTCCAGCAGGACCTACAGTCCCAGCACCAGGGAGACAGAGACAAGAGGATCCCTGGGGGCTTGCTAGCCAGCCAGCCTAGCTCAGCTGTGAGCTCCAGGCTCCATGAGAGGCCTTGAAAACAGAAGATGGTGAAGAGAACTGAGAAAGATAGCAAGACATCCAGCTCTGACCTCTGGTTTACACACATACACACACACATATATACACACTCACTCACACAAATATTCACACACACTCACATACACATTCACACTCACACAATTCACACTCACACACATATACATAGACACACATATATACACACTCACACACATATACATACACACACATATATATACACACACATATACATACACACACACATATATACATACTCACTCACACACTCTCACATACACATTCACATTTACACACATATACATACACTCACACATATATATACATTCACATTCACACACATACATACACTCACACACATATACAAACACACATACATATACACACACTCACACACACATACATTCACACACTCACACATATACATACACACACACACACATGATGGGGGATGCCCTTCTGTATATATGTTTCTCTTATTGGTTGATGAAAAAACACTGTTTGGCCAATAGAGGCAGGAAGATAGGCAGGACTAGGAGATGAGGAGAATTCTGGGAAAGGTAGGCAGAGAGAGAACACAAAGAGACGCCATGTAGCCACCAAAGGAGTATTAGGTTCAGGCATTCTCTGGTAAGCCAAGACCATGTGGAAATATATAGATTAATAGAGATGGGTTAATAATTAAGACAGAGTTATCCAATAAGAAGCCCTATCCAATGGCCAACAGTTTAATAATTAACATAGCGTCTCTGTGTGTCCATTTGGGGCTGGCGGGACAGGAAAACCCCAGCTACACACATGGTCTGGGAAATGAGGTTCCTATATCTTCAGTCCCTCAGGCACTTCCTTTCCGAGTTCACATCTTCTGAGTCTGCTTTTTTCTCACTGGACATCTTTCCTTGCAGTGACCGATGTCAGGAACAGCTTCTGTCTCTGGGCCCACCCTTACCCTCACCTCCCACTGAAAACGTTGACTTGCTTTCAGCTGAGACCTGGATATGTGATTCTTGATGTCTGCACTAAGAATCATTGAACCAACGTGAGTGAAACCACTATCCGAAAGGAAGTTCTGTGCCTCAGTGTTTGCCAGAGTGTGAGGAAGATGGCTCTCAGACTACAGCTGATGGTATCTCTGGTTTATCCGCCTCTGCTGTCGGATGTGAAATCCATTATCTTGTAACTGTATACACGGATGCCTGAGAGAGATACACAGGATGCCTGGCCAGCTAGCTTGGCACTCAGGAGGCTTATTAAAATTTTTCTGCATCTTTTACTGCCCCCTAGTGGATATCCTGGAAAGGTGTCTGGGGAAGTCAGGCTGTTCAGTTTTTCAACATTACTTAAATAGGATATTATTAGCCTTAAAATGGAAGGGAATGTTAAGAAGGTGGCAACCTTGAGGACTCTGCAGAGCCAAACACAAAAGTACTGTAGGATCCCACTATACAAGGTCCACAAGAAGTCAAATTCTTAAGGATACAGAAGTAGAAGGGTGTTTGCCAGAGCCTGGGGGGTGGTTAGTAAAGTTAACATTTCCGTTACTCAAGAATTAAAAACAATCCACAGCTGGATGGTGGCGATTGTGGAGCTGCGGGCGAGGAGACGGCTCAGTGAGTGGAGTGCCTGAAGCACAGATGTGTGAACCTGAGTTCTATCCCCAGCCACCAGATAAGAAGCCAGCGTGGCGGCTCATGCCTGAGAGGCCAGGACGGGGCCGGGGTGGGGAGCACTGAGGCAGGCCGGCCCCAGAAGCCCCGCGACTAGTCAGCACAGCTGACCTCATGAGCTCCGGGGAGTCTCAAAAGCTACAGCTGAGAGCTAGTTCTGAGACTTTTGCAGCTGTCTCTGGGCTCCACGTGAACAACACACACACACACACACACACACACACACACAACACACAACACATACACACACAACACACAACACATACACACACACAACACACAACACACAACACACACACAACACCTATACACACAACAACACACACACAACACATATACCACATACACACACACAACACACAACACATACACACACAACACACAACACATATACACACAACACATATACACACAACAACACACACACAACACATATACCACACACATACACACACAACACACAACACATATACACACAACAACACACACAACACATATACACACAACAACACACACAACACATATACACACAACACATATACCACACACACATACATGCACACACAACACACAACACATACACACATGCACACGGCACATACACCACACATACCACATATACCATACACATACACACATGAACATGGCACATACATCACACATACCACATATACCATACACATACACACACAACATACATACGTGCACACGGCACATATATCACACACAACACATTTGTGCATACACCACATACACCACACCACACACACACACATGCACACATGCATACACCACATACACCAAACACATACACCACATATACTACACACACACATACACACACACCACACAACACATACACACATGCACACAGCACACACACCAACACACCAATATACCATACACACACAACATACACACATGCACACACCACATACACCACACACATCACATACACCACACACATACACATATACATATACCACATATACACCACATACAACATACCACACACACATATATATCACATACATATCACATACCACACATACACACAAGAAAAAAAATATGAAGCTGGTAAACTCTAGTATATGTAGTTACTCTAACTAATTTTTGGTGAGCTGAAAAAAATAAGCAAAACCCAGAAAAGTCTGGGTTTTGGCTTCAGTGTTGCTGGTGATTTCTAGCTGTTGGGTGGCCGTGGAAAGTCATTGGGCCTCCTGTGCTCTGCTGTGTTCATGAGAAAGTCCTGGGCTTCAGCCAGCTAACAAGTGTTAAGCAGGGGTTTATGTTGACTTCGCCTCTACTGGAGGCTGTGTCACAAACACACTAGTAGCATTTATCACCCCAGGGAGGTCAGGCCACGAGGGTAGGAGACTTAGCATGCATTTGGGGTGCTCAGGCAGGGCATGTAGGAGAAGCAAGCCACGACACTTGGAGGAATTCAGCAGCTAAAGTAGAAAGCCACAGAGAATTATCAGCATCAGGAGGTGGGTATGAGGACAGCTTCTGAATTATGATGACACCAGGGATGTCAAAACTAGTTAAAGCCACGATTTGCCAAACTGGAGGATCTGCATTCTGTCATAACATCCCAGGCCCTTGGTGTCACAGGCACAGACTGTGGATCTTCAAGACAAACAAGGCTTTGATGGATGAAATAGGTATGACAAACGTACATTGTGCAGGACACAGGGACCCAGTCGTGACAGCTGTGGAGTCTGAGACTGGTACCCAAGGGAAATTCCAACATTTCATGTGCAAGAGGCCAGTAAGACTGAAGGCGGTTGTCATGTAGGTGACCAAGGCCAGACGGGGGGGGGGGGCGCAAAGTGGGGGTGGACGGGTGTCGAGAGCACCCGAGCAGATGACAAAGCGGGAGAGGGAGGCAGGTTGGAGACTGCAACGATGGATCACCAGTGTCAGGAGGACACACAGGGCTCCCACTCATGGACCAGCAGGGGCCAGGGGCAGCCAAGACACTAGGGGCTGCGCCATGTTCTCCACACTCCATCACATTTAATCCTCACAACTATCTTGTTTTACAGACCAGAAAATGGGAGACCAGAGATGTTGATTAACCTGCCATAGGTAACACAGCCAATGGGGGAAGGGAACTGGGGTTTGAACCTGGGCAGTCAGATTCTACAGTCCACGTCCAAAATGCATAGATTACTCTTGGTGTGAGAGGCGAGCCTGATTGGTAAAGACCTTGAATGTCATTTCCAGGACTCTGGTGATGCTCTGCAAAGGTGGGGCTTACTGACGTGTTTTGAGAAGGAAGAAACTAACTGATGTGTATTCCGGAAAGATCTTTCTGCCCTGGGTAGAAAATGTCCTGCAGGCGGTGGGGGTGGGGGGGATGAACTGTTTGCTCCCGAGGGCTCATGTCTCAGAGGCTCGTTCCCCTGTCAGCAGTGTTCCGAGGTGGGGCTTTGTGGGCCCGAGGCCCTGCCTTCAGCAGCAGACTAACCCCTTGGTGAACTCACAGTGTGAGGACAGGCTGGAGAAAGCTCGGCAGTAAGGAGCTCATACTGCTCCTGCAGAGGACCAGGGTTCAGTTCCCAGCACCCCGTCAGGAGGCTCACAGAGCCTCACACCCTGGCTCCAGGGAAGTCCAGCCTCCTCCAGCGGATACTCATCTCATGTGCATGGGCCCACACACATACACATAATTTACACTCATGTGCACACACATACATACAATTTACATACACTCA